CAAGCTTTGTGTTGTAATTTTCTTGGCTGTAATGTGGTCCTAACTTGTCAAAAAGAGAAATAAAGTCAGAAAGAATGTCTCAAGATTTGTGTTTTTACTTTTTTTTTTTTTTAAATGTATGTGCATTTTTTTGTAATTGCACTGAACACAAAACTGCCACCTGTTAAGCTATTTTCAGAATCTGATGAGGCTTGTTTGTTCTTGTTCCATAAAGCACTTTGTCCTTCAGCAATTGTCTACCCCCACCCCTTTTTAAAAAGAAAATCTGCTTCCTTTAATGTTTTAGTTTCCCAGATTGATGGTGTGCATGTTGATGGCTGTATGTGTGTATGTTGTGTGTGTGTGTTTGTTCTCACACACACACACACACACAACACACATACTTGTGTAATGCGATTGAGTGTGCAGCTGTACAGACTTCACTCCCTCCCCTCAAACACCCTCTTGCTTTCTATGTCATGCTCTCTTTCATATGCTCGCTCTTTCATTTTCTCTTTCATTCTTTGCCTCTTTCACTCTCTTTCTACCCCCCCACCCCCGTGTAATGTGGCTGACACACAGGAAGCTCTAATCCTCGCACAATGTCCCCCCCTCATCCCCCCTGAGCGTCTCTGCGCGGGATGAAGGGGAGGTGGAGACCGACCCGGCCAGCTGTCCCTAAAATGGCTCCTAATCCTGCCTCTGCCAGGCCCTCGAAACCATGACAACCTGTAACCAAGGAGAGAAATGTTGAGGTTGAGAGGGAGACGAACAATGAGTCAGAAACTAGGCATGTGGAAGAAGTTTGTCCACATGCATTCAGGAAGGGATAAAGACATGTCTCAATCAAAAATAAGGAAATCTTCAAGAGACAATGGCAAATATGCCAAAATGTAGCATCTTAAGAGGCAAAAAAGCAGCAAGACGTGATGAATGGTTCTACAATGAGTTGTTAATGATCTTTAAAAGATGAATTTGAAATCAGTGGATGTAAAGTAAAGCTTCTTTCCATTTAGACTCGGCACTGCAGGTGGTTATTGTACAACTGCATTTTGTTTATGTTTATATATAATATGCATATATATTTAACTTTTATAATGTTCATTTACACTTTTTTTTATTTACGGCAGTTTAGTAAATATCTAGCCAAAAACAAGTTCCAAAAATAAATACTAGGGGGGGGGGGGGAAACC